TCATTCTGGAGCTCTAAAGCAGGTAATGGAAAGTAGCTCACTGTTTTGATGCATACGTGTGGAAAGTGAGACACTTCTATTGTTCTCTATGGCCACAATCAAGAAAGAATGACAGAGTAGCCAAAAGCATTGTTAACATCCTTTATGGCATTCATCTCCAGTATACTTCTGCCTTCTAACCTTACAGGTGACTGTGTCTGAACCTGCTGTTTTGCCTAGTGCCTCTGAGTTCCAGTCCGAGCCAGCGGAAGGCCGGAAAGTCAGCAAAGTCATCAAGACCACTGTAGTGCAAGGTGAGAGAACGGAGAAACGCCTGGGGGATGCCAGCCTAGCTAGTGATCTTCCGTCGGCCAAAGAGGACTTTGAAGAGGTAAAAATGCCTTTTAAATGTAAAGTATTAAATCAAGGGTCACAACGTACCTGGGCACAAATTCTACTGTGTAAAAAGTAGAGTTTTAGTAGAAAATAGAATATAAACTCAGTTATGCTCTGTTATTATACTCTGCTGTATTATGAAAGGATTAGTATGTAAAGTGTGTGTGCAGGGAGGAAAGAAGCAAACATTGCAGAATTAGCTGTGAAACATTTTAAGAATCTTAAAAACCCCAGGAGGCTTTCAATGAAGCCGTTGGAAATCATGGGTACAGTTACTGTTAAAGCACACGAGGAGTGAAGTTTGAAAATTGCCGCAGTCAAGTCTGTGCTCTGGGTGAGTTGATGCATTTGTCTTTGATGGGAAGAAACAGGTAACAAGTAGCACCTTTCCCAGTTTTCCTCTTTTTCTGAGCAGTGTAGATGTTTCAGTAAGAGAAAAAGGGTATGGAATGAAAATAGCATTTTCTACAAGGAACTGATAGTGCTTTGCCCTATATCCATTTTATTGTCCCTTTGAATAACATGCAGAAAATAGTGCACCTCCAGCTGAAAGGAAAATAGAAATCCTTCCTTTTTTTCTGTTTGGCTGGTTTCTGTGTACTGTATTTCTAGGACTCTCTGTGCAAAACTCCATGCCCTGCATCTCCCAGGCAGACTTGAGGCTCGGGAGCATCACCCATCATTTCCACATATACCCGCCTCCATGCTCCTAGTGCTGTGAGCTAGCAGCTTGAGGTGGCGGAAAGAACAACTATACATGAGAGAGTATCTTCTGTGATAGGAAAAAGGTGACTGCAGTAGCTGTCACCAATAGAGAGAGAGGACAAGTGCTGCGAGCATGCCACAGCAAGGCATAGAGTAGAAAGTAACTTTGCAGCAGAAAATGAGATGCGTTGGTATAAATACTAGTAAAATGAAACTAGCTTAGACAAGAAGCTCTGGTCTGATCAGTACATTTAAGGAGTATTTGAAAGGATGCAAATGGCAGGCATGTGCTTCTAAGGTTTGTTTATTCATCATTTTCTCAGCATTCAACTGCGCTAATATAAACCACTACTGCAGATGAGTGCTATATATTATAAGATACATTAGGAAGAGCAATATAGCATCTGTCCTAGGCTTTTGGGTTGTGTTTTAATGTGAAACTTATGTTTTCATTCGAGGCTTTGAGCTATGCAGGTAACCAAATGAAAGTCCAGCTCCCCACTTTAGTAGAGAAAGAAATCCTGAAAGAGGATGGATCAGTGATTAAAAGGTTTGGCTTGGCATGGTGTGGCATGTCAATGAAGTCTTACTAGAACAGGATTAACACGTAACTAATGACTGGATTGATGGGTGTGCGTGAAGTGCAACCACTTATACCAGCAGATCAATGGCAAGGCAGAAGGGCAGCCAGGGGCTGGCTGGCGCACCAGTGGGGCCCTCCCTTAGCCTTCGCTTCCTTGTCCTGTGATCCCTGCCCAGCTACTCAGTTTGACTTAGCCTACTTTGCACTTCATTCTCTGTCTTTCCTTCCCCACTCAGTTTTCTGTTACATAGTGTGGGGGACATGGTGGCATGCATTCCTTCCTTTCCTTCCTCTAACACTTGTCTCCTTTATTCCATGCTCAAGGACAACACTCACTAAGTCCAGCATGCACAAGAGGACTGTGATGAAGGATCAGTATGGCCAACATGTGCACATAGAAGAGCTGGAAGACACACCAGAAGCACTACCACAGGATGACCTCCAACAGCACCTCCAGCAGCTTCTCAGGCACCTCTGCAGAAAGGACTGCAAACAGGACAACTGAGAAGTTGCCACAACCCAGCCCTCCAGCCCCTTACACAGCACTCACCGTTACTACGTGCACACATCACAACCTACATCACTACCAGAAGACACAGTTACGTCTACTTGTTTCTTGATACAGAGACTTTTTTTTTTCCTTACCCAATTTTTCATTTCAGAATTTTGTTCAGTTTTTTGGTACACTGTAAGCTGAGTTGTGACCAAAGAGCATTCTTCATCCAGGATTGTTTCCACCGAACCATCCTCGTTGTGCTGCACTGGGAGTTTGTCCACATTGCCGCTTCCTGCTGCTTCTGTGTTGCCTTCCTGAAAGGACGTTTGTGAAGCTTCATGCACAGGCCTCTTGAACAAACTATGTACATGCACCATCACCACAGCAGCTAACATGTAAACTCCCTGTATATAGTGACAGCACTTGGGACTTACAGACTGCAGAAAGCACACTGCCGACCACTGCGAGTAGCATCACAGGTTACGAGCTCTGTTGATGCTGCCCATGAGTGATTCACAACACAAACATTAACATGATCGATGGCAAACACAGATTTGCTGAGGAGGAAGCGCTGCAGATCTACTGCATCCGCAAGACTTCCACTTTAGGGACCTAGTCTAGTGAAGGCTCTGAGAGCCAAGCTCAAAACCTGGAAGTTCAGCTGTTCCCCCAGAGCAACAGCTCACTGTGGCCATTCATACTTCCAAGAGCTTTGGACAACCACTTAGACATTACCAGAAAGAGGAAAAAATAAAAACCCAAACCGAAACACTCACTTAGGTAACCAACTTGCTAGCAGCTATCTCTATGGCACACTTGTGTACGGGATTAACCTCTTTTAGATCCGGACATGTGGCAAGGTGTGTTTAATAATCCCTACTGCTGTAGTTTCCCGTTCTCAGCACCGCTTTGCCAACCACACCATCTCATCGGTAGTACTTCCTGCTGGCGCTGCACTGTAGATACCTACAGGAAACAGACCTACCTACTGCACCAGGAGAGTAATTCAGTTTCCATGTTTTATTGAGATTGCCTCTTATCCAATACATGCATGTGGCATCAGAAGGCCAAGCCCAAACTCTCCCATAATCCTGTCAGCTTGTCAGCCCTCTTAGCACTGAGCGAGCAGTTTCTACCTTCCAACATGGTGTTTTTTAAAAAAGAAGTGCTCACAGTCCTTCATAAGCCAGTTTCTGTTCCTATATTGTTTTCTATCTCTACATAGTACATATATATATATTTCTAAACTAACCCACTGACAACCACGACAGCATGCCCAGTGTTTTCCTACAAGGGAAAGTAGAATTCCAACATTGTGGGTGTTCTGCACCTTCATATGCAACAGAGGGAGCTCTGGAGTGTTGTAGCACACATACACCCAAACTGAGTGTTTTTAAACAGCTGTTTTGAGTTTTTATTAGTATACAGAAGACTACAGTATAAGATACCCTCTCCTCTGTGAGTAATGCTTTTTCCAAGCCTATCTGGCCTTCTACCATTACACAGTTGTTTGGTTCTTTAATGACTCACTCAGTGCTCAGATCAAGGGCACTTCCTTGTTACAGTCACAATGCTGGGAGCCCCAGATCTCTCAGGAGTTCTGGCTTCCTGCAGGCCAAACTGCCCAAGGTGCCACACAGTAGGAATAGCTAAATTAATACAATAAAATCTTTCAGCAGCCAAACCAACCGAGACCCCTGATGAAACATTCCCCACCGCATCACGGCTTCCTTTCTGACCGAGATAGCACAGGATGGTCTTCAAGGACGGGGCTCTAAAGAAATGCATTTCTGTTGTGTTCTTTGCGGTGCAGATGATGTTCTGTGTAACAACATAATGGTTATTCACCTCTTATTTTGATTTTTTGCTGTGTTATCAGAGAACTTGAATACTGTGAGAAGAAGTGAATTTTAAGTTGACAAATCAGCATCTTGTTCCCATGGTGATAACACTAATTGAATATATCTATGAGGGCATGTATTAGTTAAAAATTAAAAGAAAAATACAACACTAACGATACATAGCTGCAATGTGTACAATGGCTGATTTAACTAAATAAACATGTACAAGTGTTCAATGTAGAACGCCTCGCTCTCCTTTACTGCCAGCACAGCAGAAGCAACAGCACCCATTTGGATGCCCTACCTGAATTATCACTGTTACAGTTCCCCTGTATATTTGTTTCTGCTATTCAGCACCAATTGCTAAGTGCCCATCTTTGCAACAGTCAGACACCCTTTGAAAAACTAGTAACAGCAATTAAAAAGCATGTATCTTGCCTTGTTACCTAGTTATTTTACTGTGCCTGAAATGCTGGACTTTTCCTGCAAACAAACATGGCCCAGACTGTTCAGTACAGTCACTTAGTTTCTCAACACGAGAAAAGACAAGGTAGAAAAGGGCAGGGTGGAATTCTGCCACATCTTAAATCTGCCACATCTATCATCCTTTTAATGCATAGAAAACGTTCAGAAGAGTCTAATTCTTTTGCCAGTTGAAGCTTATCCAGTCTGCACCACTTTCATCACTGCAGCCCTGTGGCTAACAAACATAACAGCTCACATTGCCCCAGTCTCCCCCTTCTGCTACTTACTCTCACATGCTCACTCCACCTACCTGTTTTATGGGGTCACATTAAGTTTGAGGTTTCTTGAGCAAACCCAAGTTCTTAAACCCAGGGACAAACCTTGTGCTTTTCAGGGCCTGTTAAGTGGCAACAACAACTCGGGTACTACCTCACTGGTCCTTTCCACCTTGAGCAAAGGCTTTATTTCTGTACACAAGTATACAGCAACCACAATCTACTTAATTTTGGACAAATCACTAAGCCATTAACTTGGTCCGGCCACAGGGTCATGCCAATAGAACAGCATCTCAAAAACTACTGGGTGTGAGGAATTGGTGGATGAGGCAGATAGATAGATAGATAGATAGACAGGGAGTGAGGAGCTGACAAAATCAGAGACAGTGCTGTGATGGATGCCTGTCTTTCACAGGGGCTTAAGAGGGAATTTAGACCTCACATGTAAGCACAGAAGAGTACTGGGGAGATGCTTCTGAGATAACTGTATCCATAATGCTAAGGGAATAATAATGATAACAACAATACCAATTATTATACCATAATAACATTATTATTGTTGCTATTGTTATTATTATTTCCTCTTGATATCATAAATACCAAGTGTGAGTATGGATCTAGTCAAAGTGGGACCATCCCAGAAAAAGTAAGTGGGGGCAGGTTGTTTATTCAAGGGGCTTGAGGCAGAGAAAGTGAGGTACAAGAATGCCAGAAAGGAAGGTCGAAAATGGGAAAACAGATGATAAAATCATATGAATGGGGCCTACGCTTGATCACAGCAGGACAATGAAGCAAAACCCATGCTCCTGACCCTGCTGAAAGAGTTGAAGCTGCTCCTGTGGCCAGGAGGGGTGGGGAGAAGGCAGGCAGGAGGCTTTTGTGCCTCAAACAGGAACACCCAGGCAGACAGATCACACTGTCACATGTCACTGCCCATTCCCAGCCAGATAGCAAGTTCCCACCTATTCCCATCACTCCTACTGATGCACCTCACTGCTCTACATGTGGGTTTGTCAAATTCAGCAGTATTCACTTTATTTTCCAGAACAACACTGGCATTGACCATAACCTGCATATGCTACGAACTGTGGAAAACCAGTCCCTCGTGGTTTTCTGGTTGTGGGTTTTTTTTTATTAATTATTATTTCTTTGGTTTTGTTTGGTTCATTAAAACCAACCGCATTGCAATAACAACTGTCTGGGGGCTGAATTCCAAAGCGTGTTTTCAGGCACAGCAGAGTCTTATGTTCTGCTCAGAAGAAGGTGTTGTTAGTTTAGTGTGTCTGTAGATGGTATCTCTCCTCTGCGCAAATCAGAGCGCTGTGTATTAGCCATGCACAGTGATGCTGCATCCTTATTTATGTCAGTATCATCAGTAGCATCTCAAACCCATGTGGAAAATCAAAAACACTTTTAGAAAACTCTCACGTACCTGAAAAGACTTTCCTGCAGCTTCCTGCAGCTCAGCTTTGTCTTCTCAGGTACTTGACAGTTTCCTAAACCTGTTTCCAATTACCAGGAATGTTTTCACTGCCTCCTTAGCTGCAGACCAGCGGCTCGATTTAATAGTGCTTTTAATGATAGCCATTGGCAGGCAGGTGTGATTTTCCTTGCTCCCATCTTACCAAAAGCCAAACAGTCTAGAAATGAGAGTCTAAATAAATGAGCCATTAGTGCCAGCTATTTTGAACTGAGTTATCTTTCTTCTGTGTTATATTACTTTGTTGCCTGGAGATCTTTACTTCTGCTCTTAATTTCTTTGTCCCACTTATTTTAGCATCCAGGTGTCACAACTGAATGGCATACAGCAGTGGGTTTTATGCATTTACTCCAAACATGCTGAGAAAACACCGACTGAAAAAATGTCAGAGCCGTTTCTCTGAGGTCTTTGCAGCACAGAGTCCAAAATGCGCATTTTGGAAGGGTGGCAGTTAGGGGCTTGCCTGGCAATTCAGACACCAGAAAAGCTATTGCAGGTTCTGGACGTTAAGTCGCTTGAATATTGGAAGAGTGTCCAGGTTCTCTGGCTAGTCTCCTGGATAGATAGTATTTCAACATTGAAGAGAAGGCCCATTCTGGGGACACCACTTACTTACTTACAAATCAATGTTACAGAGACGAAAATGACTGATCCTGTGGGGTGCAGAAATACTTAGGTAGGAGGAGATGATAGGCAAAACTGCATATGGGAATTCAGATCCAACTTGATAGTGGCAGGACCTCTAAATCCCTTACAAATCTTAAGTAAGTTCTTAGCCCAAGTCTGCATCATTTTGCTATCAGACTTCAATCAGTATTTAGCAGAAATCTTTTTCCCTCACAAATCACTGAACAGAGCCAGAGGACTGCACCCAAGTCCATCTCTTACTGTACTGAGCCTTTACAACACTCATTCTCAGTGCTTCTCTAACCTCACTTTTCCATGAGT